CGCCCCGACTGCGCCAGTCTAGGTTCCTGTCTGCAAAAGACGCATATGACCCTTTGAGTCCACCCCATAACTGTGTGTATTGTGTCTGTTCTATTAATATCTGTAGAGCCACTCATCAAAGTTCACTCTGGGGTGATACACAGACCTGCATTAGTTTTTGGTTTCTGTGCATATTACTTTGAATGCAAAAGGCAACCCAACCAGTACTATTGCCAACAACAACAACATTGATAGTTCAAATGTAACAGTTTTTGTTATGCTAAGCTGATATAAACATTACTAACTTGTTATCAAAACAGTGAGCTATATTGCAATACTGGTGGTTGGGTTGCTTTTTCATCCTTAGTAAGATGATTGGTACCATTGAAAAAAAAAATGATCGGATTTCCCTGCCATTTATAGTATGGATTTATTTATTAAATCCATAAAAATGATTCCTATGGTAAACAGTTCTCATTGTATTTCAAAATTTCACTTGGTGATGTATGGTTAAAAAAATCATGTGTAGTTACATGATGAATACTTATTGTAGTCTTCAAATATTATGATATTCTAAAGTTTACTATAATTCTTTTCATGAAATAATGCATTAACATGGCTTCCTATGGAAATTTTTCAAAACTCTTCATTTTTGCATTTTCTAGACAGTTTTTCTTCAAAAAATATTTCATACTTGGATATGTGTGACAATCATTTATGTGACACTTTTGAAACAACATATTTATTTTTTATTTATTAAGTCAAACCAGTACCCTAATCATATTTTGCCCTTCTGAACCTAGTTTGAGACTCTGCCAATGATCTCAAGTACTTTTAGTCAGATTCTTTTGAAACGTGGTACCTGGATGCTCTGGAGTTGTCTGTAGACATTATTTGTATGGTTGCAATCATGCAGAACCTAATTTGCATAACAATGAAGCAAATATTCACCTGTTTTACTGATATCTCAACCATATACTAGTATTTCAATGAAACTTGTGTTACAAACGGGAATACGAGATAGTCTCCCGTGAACCTGGCCACCAATATCCCACACTCCAGGACGCAACACTAAAGGTCAAACAAAGGCACACAAGCAGATTATGTCAAATAATACTAATTTAATAATACAATAAGCATAAACCAGTAACAGGAGTAATATAAATCACAAACCGGTCAGCAATATACATCACAATAATAATAAAAATAATGAGAATAGCCAGGCTCGGAATTGCTTACCCTACCTAAGTGCAGAACTCGTACAGCGTAGTTTCAGCTATAGGTAGTCATTTACAGCAACGTCGACGACAATATCAGTTCTACAGCTCCAAACTACAAGGTCTTGGGGAATACAAACTACACGACACTGACTGTAATGTTACAAGATTTCCATACCGTCCGTGCAGAGAAAGGATCAAGATCAGCAAACCACGCTTTCTGGCGAAACACAGGTCTTTGAATAAAGTTGATTTTACAGCGCAGAATCACAGCAGGCTGTCTTGCATCTATCAGTCCCATATGCCGAACTGGACAGGCATTGTCTTAAGACATACGTTGGCTGCCACGTCGACACTGCACCAGAGCTGAGCTGAGCTGAGCTGAGCTGAACTGAACTGAACTACACTGTACTGCACTGGTCGGGAGCTGGGTGATAACTGACTAACTCGTGTTCACATTCATCTTGCACAATCACGAACAAAAGAATATTAATTATTGTCAATACATGCAGTCTATTCTAACCTTGCTAGCTAACTGGGCATTATCAAAATACATTTATATTACAGCAAAAATAGAATATCGTAACACTTGGCATGTATGCATTCTGTCTGACTGAGTGCAGATTCTGGGAACAATACAATAAAAATGCAATTAAGGATGAGTTCTATTTTATTATATTCTGCACTTTCAAAAATGTCCTGTTTAATGAAACGTCCAAAGATATCAGTTTTGTGGACTTGTCAGATACAGAAAATTTCAATATATCACAGAGTACCAATTGTCTAAGAATTCCATGAGCTAAATTCATATATTGATACATATGTTTCAGTGCAATGATTGATCTTAAATACACTCCCATCCAATGTATCATTTAAACATGTGTTTGTAGTTTATATTTGTTTTGTAATTATAATTTTTTTCTTAAATTATTTGTTCCTTAAGTTTTTTCTATATTTATTGAGACCGTACTGCTGTTTTTCAGTCGGTGTTGCGTTAATAAATATTATATTATTCTCAATAATATCTCTGTTACTCTGCATATTTTGTAATTCATATTTGTTTGTGGTTATAGCTACATTGACGAACACCAAGATTTGTATGTTGAAAGATTGAAAGACGCTGTGGCCATTCAGAGTGTATCAGCATGGCCAGAAAAAAGACCAGAAATTAAGAAGATGGTAGAGTCGGTTGCCAAGGTAACATATTTAATACATCTTTACAGAGATATTTGTCAATGTTCTCAGGATACCCAGTTGGGAAAGGTTTCACTCTGTCTATTTTAACATTGTAGCAATTGGAAACTCTTGGAGGAACTGTTGAACTGGTTGATATTGGGATGCAGAAACTACCTGATGGAACTGAAATTCCATTGCCCCCTATATTGCTCGGTCAGTTGGGTAATGATCCCAAAAAGAAGACAATTTGTATTTATGGTCATCTTGATGTACAACCAGCAGCAAAGGTGAGAATTAATTCAAGTATTGTAATTTAAGGTTTGTGAATCATTGATCAATATAGTTATAAATATGATAAGGTGTAATTTACGGAACAGCGACCATATTTAATCTGAGTTGACTGGTGTGTAGCTATATGTACATTTAATTACCCATGCAGTCTCACAGTCATCATTGAGTATAGTACATGGTGTATAATGAAACATTACAATATAGATTTTCATAAAGTTTTGCGCTCTTATCTATAAAAATTAATTAATTGAATTAATTGATTAATATTGTTTAAATTACAACAACACATTGTTGTCCTAATACATTGTATTCATCATATATGCAATATTTTAGTTTCTTTTTTTTAAATAAATAAATTGTTCATACTTTGATCATGTTATCATGTTAAAGTTTTCATGATTGTCTGATATTTTGAGTCTGTTTGTATAGTATATGCGCCTTATATATGCCACATTTACACACTACCTGTGGTGACCTCATGTGAATGTCATTCAACTTTTGCACCCACGCTTTGAAAAACATGACGTAAACAAGTCAAGTCATGACATGACAAAGTTCCCGTCTGTTTTCAATGATATGATCTCATTTGTATATATTTCCCATGTCATCAGATATATTTCTGGAACAGCATTTATTAAAACAAAATGGCCGCCAGTTGGCCAATTTGAGTCCGCTACCAGAAAATGTATAAACAGCATGCCCCCAAAAAATTGCAAATGAGTAAGTCTGTCAGAAAACAGATCAGTGTTCGTCTCGACTGTTTTTGTGCTAGTGTGTTGACAGTATGACGGTTTGTTTTCTGTGATGCCACAAGGAACTTGTTAGATCATAAGATATTCATCGCATGTAACCATGGATATCAAAACTGCATAAGTTTATAAATCCTTGTTATAAACTATTTGACAATAAATATGGACAATAGGTTTGTATTGACAACCTTCTTGAAGGCTCTAAAATAAGATCAATGTTTGTCAGGCACAATTTCAATTACAAACTAATGTTTTTTATGCACATTGTATGCTGCATGTGACCCACATCTTGACAACCCTGACTCTTTATCAAACTCTGATTTGACTTTTCAGTCTGATGGATGGGATACAGAACCATTTGTATTAACAGAAGTTGATGGTAAACTTTATGGAAGAGGTTCAACAGATGATAAAGGACCTGTGTTGGCATGGTTACATGTCATTGAGGCATATCAAAAGCTTGGTAGAGATATTCCTGTTAATTGCAAGGTACATGTTTTTTTTATGATATCAATGTGGATTCATACAGTTTTCGTGTTATGTGCATGCCACTTTTCTTTTTAACCATAGGTAAAAACTAAGTAACTTTATTTTCAGATTGTCTGAAAACTGGAGTTTTACATTTTATTTCTCCCTCTGAAAATTAACTTAATAAATACAAATTGCAATTTACAAACCAAAAATATATTACATAATAATATGTGATGACGGATATTACAGTTTATTGGCACAGTTCTTGAATTCAGTAAGTTTTCTTTTTTGAGTTTACACTTTTCGAATAATTTTTCAAGCTTCCATACTTTTCAAATTAAAGTAGCGAGACTATTATTTGTGTTGAAAATTA